GGAGTAGAAATGCTGGTGCTATCTTACATGAAGAGAGTGAAGATGGACAAAGCAGTTACATCTTACTTGGAAAGGATGAATCTACTTATACTAGATTTGGTGATTTCAGGTCAAGGTCAAGGAGAAGATGCCTATGTAGCTCAGTAGTACAGTTCTCATGGGTTCAATCCCAGTAACACACACACACACACACACACACACACACATACACACACGACACAAACTACATATTAAATATAAAAGTAAAGGTTGTTGTGGTGGATTGACAACTTGTGGTCAACTTGTAACACCCAGCTGAGCTGGAGCAGCTCGGTACTGGTTGTGGGAGTTCACCTGAGGGTTGTTGCCGGGAGCATAAGAGGCAAAACTGGAGAAGAAGAAGAGAAGCTGTTAGGGACTGTTGATTTTCCTGGGGCTATTTGCTATCCTGGAGGAGCTTGTCATCCTGGATTTCCTGATGAACTTGGCTGTTCTTATCATCAGAGGATCTCGGGACCTTGTTGTCACTGAGAATGGCTACAGGTTACTTTGGGCGAGTTGTGATCCTTACTTTGAGCATCATTTCCTGGCTCCAGGGGGGAAGATGGTGCACTGTTCAGTCTCTAAGAGAAGCTTGGCATGTTGGCTTTCCTGATATAGACTTGGCTGTTATCATCATCAGAGGATCTCAGGACCACATTGTTGCTGAGCATGGCTGTGGTACCTTTCAGGGGAGCTTTGGTTCTTACTTTGAGCATTGGTTCCTGGCTCCAGTGCAGATCCCTCAGCCTGCTACCACAGGTCCTTCATCCTACTGGTGCAGACTTTCTAGCTTCCAGCACTGACCTTTGGGCCATCCCAGCACAGATCCTTGAAACGGGCCTCCATGAGACATTGTTGTGGGCTCTCGGCCTTCAGTTGGACTTGGGGTGGACATTGTTATGAGTTCTAGGTCTTTAGCAGGACTCATGCAGGACATGGTAGTGGGATCCAGGCCCTCAGCTGGATTCTTTTGGTCTTTAGTGTGTGGACAGATTTCCTGCACTCTCTTTGTATATGACTCTTTGGGTAAGTATTACAAAAATTCCTATGAATTGTATGTCCTGTATTAAATTGTGTTTCCCTTGCAAAACCTGGCTACAACAGTTGTAATTACAGCATTGTGATAAATTTCTGTTAGGCAAAGGCATAATCCTAGAAAATCAAATGCTAGAAAGTAAAGGAATTCACTGTGTTTTCCTCTGTCACCAGGATAAAACTTCAATCATATTCATTACAGAACAGGTTGTAACACCAGTTTCCCTTTAGTTCAGCTCACACTTAGCTTCTACCTGTAACTGTAGTTTTAGGGAAACAGAATCTTTTCCTTTCATGTCATCTGTTGTAATACTTAAGCTACTGCCTTGCTGTAACATTCTTTACATATATCTAATATAAATTATTTAAAGGCAAATAAAGTATGTGTTTTTTTTTTTTTTTTTTTTTGAGACAAGTTCTCTCTATGCAATTCAGGCTGGCCTTGAGCTCACTTTGTAGCCCAGGCTGGTCTCAAATTCACAACCATCCTCCTGCCTCAGCCTCCCAAGTGCTGGGATTACAGGCATGTGCCACCACACCCGGCCAAATAAAGTATGTTTAAAATAAGAAAACAAACAGAGCAATGCAATAACTAAGCAGTTGTTTAAGAGTACAAGTTACTGAAAGTGAAGGGATTGTATCGATTCTCCAGAAGAGAATGTACAGCAGTTTCTTAACTGTAAATTTCTTCTCTGTGGACCTCAATAGATCTGTAGCAGAATAGCTGGGTAGTTTAAGTAGGCATATTCCTGGACCCAGACCTTCAGCATCCCCAAGAGGTTATGACAAAAGATCTGTATTTTTAACAAGCTCCCCAGGTAATTCTCACACACAAGGTCTAAGAACTGCTGGTCCTGGAAGAGCAAGAGATCAACAGAGGGTATAAGACTATGTCTTGGGAAATGTCAGCATTATATTATAAAAGTGAGAAGAAGGGAAATCTACAAGAGACCAAAAATAGCAGCCAAGGTCAGGGTACTCTTTTTATGAGCTAAAGGAAAATCAAAATTTAAGACCAAGTAGATGGCAAAAAGTGTGAAATATAACAGATATCATAGAGACAGATAAAAGTCACTGAATATGGTAAAAAGGTCAAGTGTGGCCTTCGAGCATATTTCTAGTAAAGTGATGATGGAATGCAGATTTTTTTCCGGACCTTGACCTGTCCTTCAAGGTTGCACTGCAAACAGTGCCTCCCAGCGATGCAGTTCCTGACTCCGCTGGACAGAGTCCATCAATCCTTAGAGTACATAATTCTATTACAGCAGTTCATCTATTGCACTGAAGTTCATTTACCTGTTCTTCATTTAGACTGAAAATTCCTTGGGGGCAGGAGCTGTCTTTTTCTCTATTTTTGTGTATTTTCTTTTCCCGCTTTATTGAGATATAACTGTCAAAATGAATTATATGTATTTATGGTATACAACTTGATGCTTTGGTAAGTAGCTGTGTCTTGTTCCCTTTCAAATCTCTAGCACCTGGCACAATACCTGGCATACAGAAGATATCTGTAAATGTCTACAGAATGAATGACTAGAAAACAATTGCAGGCAAAGGCCACAGTTCTGCAGTGAATGTAGATGAACCTTATATGTTTGAAGGCAAATGAGATCAGAACAACGGATGATGCTGGAAAAAGGAGTAAGCAGGGAACCAGTTTTTGCAAAGCATGGAAGCGATGTGATTGAAAGCACAGCTTTCTCTTTAGAAAACAGGAAACACAGCTCTTTCTCCTAGTCTTGAAGGAAGCATAACGGGGTGGGTGTACAAGACAAAGCACCTTAGCTCAGATGGCCCTTTTCTAAATAACTCATAAAGTTAAGGCTTTTCCTGAGAAGGAGGTACAAAAAGTGGGATCTGCAGGCTGAAGAAAGAGTACAAGAGTATTGGTAGGAGTACACTGGTGGGTGAATCATTAAGAGAGTAATAGATTCCATGCTATATACCCAGGCGTTAACAGCATTTCACTCCTTTCTGTACTCTTTGAAATAACAGACTACATCCGTCAGTCCTGCTAATTGGGACTGGATACCAGACATGGGGCCTGAAAATACAAAGTCACTGATCTCTTCCTCTCCTGAACTCTCTCTGCATGTTCTTTTCAGCGTTTAAGGCACTTACTGCAATGCATCCCTTATCATAACTATTTGTCTTTTTCTTGCTGGACTCTATAAAGAGTTAAAAACAAGCCCTATATCTTCATTGTGTTGTACCTTAGCATAGTGCTTTGTACATAATACCAGATGTCTGTATTAGGCACATTTCTCCAATATAGCATTTATCACATCACATTGTGCTTGTTTCCTTGTCTGTCTCCCCTTTCGGACCATGAGTTCAAGGCAGGGACTGAGTTGTATTGATCTATGTCTCCCTTTGGAACTTGGTAGTTTTGCAAACGTTTATTGAATCAAATTTTGTGGAAATGAATGTGTGGATGAAAGAATGAAGAAAACAGAAAAATGTGAGGATTTGGGGGTAACATAAAAAGATAACACACTGCACAAGCACTGCATTTTGTCACTTACATAACCATCTGTCTCAGCCTGACATCAGTAAGCCTGTAAAGCTGGTAGAAAATGACGCTGGGGGACCTGTTTTCACATACACTATAAATGTTCAGAATATACACATTCTGGGTCTTCTTATGCAAATCTCCAGCCATCTCCTTTACACCACAGAGCCTTGGGTAAGAGGGCTAAGCGTTCCGCAAAGCTAAATGACTGATTTCTCCTCCCTTGTTGGATACTGATTTGAATAGTATCAATGTTATACCACTCTAGTAACTGTTTCCTTGTGGATTCTAATTTAAAGATGACATTGTAGCAAAAAATAATGGGTTGGTGAAACAGTGTCGAAATAGCATAGTAAAAATCCACCCCACTGCAAGAAAAACGGCTACTTGCAGGGCATCTTTAAATGTTCATCGGTTTTTTAGGCTTTTTTCCCCCCAATCTTTTCAAAAGACTGATGTACATTCTACTAGTCCAGGAGAGAATAACAAAAGCCAACCCTTACAGTGGGTATATTATGTGACAGGCATTATTGTATGCAAATTGCACATGTTAACTCATTTCTCAGAACCACTTTTTGAGATGGGTATCACTGTAATCTCCATTTTGGACGAGATGAATCTGAGGGACAGAGAAGTAATTTAATGTGATCAAGGTCACAGAGCTAAAAGTGGAGGAGCTGAGATTTAAATCCAAGCAGTCTGGCTGCAATACACCTAAAAGAAAAGCACCGGTTTTGGTGTTTGCCTGAGCATGTTTTAAAGAAAATTCCTTATCTAGTCTTAACATGATAATCTCAGCTTTTGTAAAGAGCCTGTTTTATGTCAGGAACAATAATACACGCTTTAGCTGCATTCTCCTTCTCCACAATAAACCCGCGAGGTACTATTTTTATCCCCACTTTAGAGGCAAAAAAAAAAAAAAAAAAAGATTTTTAAGAATCACAGGTTAAAACGATTCGACCCAAAATTGAAAAGCAGGCTGACTCCACTGCGAGCTTTTGAGTCTTTCCCGGTAGTGAAAGGAGAAACGGAGGACCTCAAAGCCTCAGGAGTACAATGAAATAATGGATGTGAAAAGGCCTCGCCGAACAAGTGCAAGGGATAGGGCCTACCCACTCGAATCACTGTCGAAAACAGGATACCCAGGGCCCCTGCCCAACGGTTTCTCGTCCCAACCCTGTCCCTGCTGCGCCCAACCCAAAGCGATATCTTTGAATCTCTTTCTCCATCTCCTCTGATCCTGCCCCCAAACACTTGGCGAAGCAGCGGAGCGGAGAATAGAAGGTACGCGCGCGAGCAGAAGGCGGGGCCTGCCGCCCTGATCAGGACAGGGGGTGGCTTACACACATGCGCCATGGCCCTGCGGCTTTAACCGCCCCGTCCCTGCCACCAATCAGAGCCCGCGGCGCGCTCGGAACGTATCAACGCTGAATGGGTCGTGTGCGTGCAAGGGGGGCGACGTAAGGGCGCTTCGCGAGCCGTCTCTCCTCGAATGAAAGGAAACAACCTCCGGCGACAGAGCCCCGCTCTCAGTCGCTGCAGGAGAACCGAGACCGACTTCTTTCTCTTTCCCCTCATTGGCGCTTCTCTGTGCCGTCCGCCTCTGGGCCCGGCTGGTGAGTATCGGCGGAACCCTGGGGCCCCCCATTCTTTACCCGGCGGGAGAAGACAAGGAGGATGGCGGTGGCCAGGCCGCCGCCCCTGTCCGTTGTTAAGGGGGGACTCTTGGTGGTCTCTCTTTATTGTCAGGGACCCCAGAAGCGCTGCTCATTGTAGCCACTTGGTAGAGAGGCTGGTGAGAAAGTGCTTTGGAGGTACAGAGAGAGGGAGGTTAGGCGTAAGCCTGTACTTCGGGGGAGGGGGCACAACATTTGAGGAGGGAAAAAACTGGGAATTTTGAGTCTGCTGTTGCTTAAGACATATTTGGGAAGGAGGAAAGCTTCCAGTTTGGGAAGAGGAAGAGAAGCGTTTTTAGGGTGCCAGGAGGATCAGCCGTAGGGAATGAAGAAAAACTCCGAGGAGGGGGGATTAGGGGCGAAACTGATATATACGGCGAAGACTATTAGAGGGCGATCTCCTAGGGGAGGCAGCGTAAAGAAAGTGCTGGGATGATATTTTCCTGGTTTCAGGGGGGTAGGAAAAGGACAATTAGGAGATCCTGACTTTACGACGGAAAGGAACCTGCCGAAGTGTTTTAGAGAAAGATCGTTTTTCGGGTTTATCTAGCGCATGATTAGAGGGAGATCTTGGAGTCTAGTGAGCATCAGGGAATAAATAACGGAGAAGATCGGTGTGTTGTATTTACCATCCTTTAATATGTGGACGAACAGCGCGGTATTCTTTTGCAGTTTCCATTCGTTTCAGTATTCTGAGTGGAAGTTGAAAAATCTTTTGTTTTGGTTTTTTTTTTTTGAAAAACCTTTTATTTACATCTGCTTACTGCGTTCTATCAAGTCTTACCCATACAATTCAGATTCTTTCTCTACCCCTTGGGTTTGAAACAACTGGAAAATTCCTTTAGTTTCCTTTTGAATAACCGCAGAAAGCAGTGCGAAGCATTTAACAATATCGTGCAACCAAATTCAGGTGCCCTTCCGGTACATCTCTTACTCGTTTATTTTTCTCCACTGTAACTTTCCTGACAGAAATACTGTCCTTTGAGGTTCGCGTTTATATATTTTTGATTTGTATATTTCAGCTGGCTTGCGTGTGGAATGTTTTAATCTGCCGGAACTGCAGTTTTTGTTTTGTTTTGTTGTGTTTGTTTTTCTGTGAAAATGCTCTCAGATACCAGGCATTGAATGAGCTCTCGAGTTGGTTCTTGACTGCTCTCCTTGATGTTTCAGGTTATTTCTACCTCGGTGCCTCACAGCATCTTGAAAAATCAGAAGCGCATTGATTGCTTCAGCCTAGCTAATCTGGCTTTTATATTTTTTCAGATATTTGAATTATGTCTTTCACGCTATTATTGTTGGCTCTTTATTTCTGCTTTGTAATGTTATGCTTCTTTTAAGGAAAAGGCTTCATTGTTGGGTGAAAGTATCAAACTTTGATCTCTGCCTGCCCAGAAAAATGTTTTAGACTAAAATTAAAATGCCATGTAGCCGTGCATCATTATGAACCCCTTAGGTATTGATCCTCGGAATGCCTTCATTCTGCTTAACTAGAGACCACAAATGTGACAGGGTTAGATAAAAATCTGTATTTTTATGATAAAGACATTTTTGCTAGGAGTCATTGTTTCCGTGATGTTCTGCGCTTCGTGTTTTATAAAGAGGCTGTAAAAAAAAAAAGCAAGATATGCACAGATGCATTATTTGAATTTTAGTGGAAAAATCCATTTAGTCATTGCACATTGGGGAAAGTTTTTAATTGGTTTGTTGCACTTTTTACATGGCTCTGCATTTTACACATTAATTTTAGACTAATTAGAGAAAGAAATATGATAGAATATTTTTGCATGTAAAATAAAGTGTACCTTTTTTCTCTTTTAGATCTTGGAGTCTTTGATATCTAGAAAAACAGGTTCTCAATTAAGAAGAAATTTACCTTTTTATACTTTGAAAGAGACAGAATTCAACATGGATAGAATTTGGGGATACCAGTTGACAATTAATTTTGAAAATGAAAAATGATTTTCCACTCTAGCAATTTTCTTTATCTTAGGCCAGCTTTATAGCCAATGCCAGGATTGTACAGAAATTACACATTAAGGATGTGTATACAGATTAGATTTATAAAGTGCCACCCTTTCAGCTTGCCTGGATGCCTGGGAGAAATGCTGAATACATTACAGTGTCTTCAGAGTGCCTATTATTCATTGCATGGTAGTAAAAAAAAATTAATTTAGAACTCAACGGGCAGATTTTGCTGCTATTTATGAACTTTGATATTTTGCATAGTTAATTCTAAAAATTTGGGTAGCTATATTCTAGATAAAGCAACTGAACACATATTTGCCTGAGCAAATGCAGACACACTTCCCCTTTTGTTTCTTTTGTTTCTCTGTTATGTCTTCTTTTTTTTCTTTAATCCTAAAAGTATTTGCTGCCTGCTTTCAATCAGTTTCACGGTTTATAGCCAATGCTATGAATTCACTATTGTAAAGTATCCAATGGCACTTGGAAGACTGAGGTACAGTATTTAAAATTATAGATAGCATTAAGAGTTTGTTAAACCCATCAAAGCAGAGACTATAAGGACATTTGAAGTTTTGTTAAAAAGGAATAGATATAAATTGGATATAAATCAATGAGAAGCTATGTTTTCTTTGTGGCTTTATGTGAATTTTGATTATCTGAATTTTTATATTGCTTAGCAATGAAGATGTTACAGATACAATATTACCCTGCTGATACTGTGCTTGTTAGTGAACAAATTCTTTTCAGAAAATTACAATGTAGCGCTTATGTGTCAATTTTGTCAACAGTGTTATGAAAATGTACCAATATATAGAAAAATGGAAGGAATTTATTAAATTAGTTTTAAGACAAAAGTTTGGGATTTTATTGTGATATATTTTGTGGCAGCCTGGGTCTTGAATTGCTTAGTTCTGTTGACTTCAGAAAACTACACAAATCAAATAACCTATTTAAATTTGTCCAGTATTGTTCTGAAGAATCTGTGTTAAGAATGATGATCTAAATGTGAAACCTGTGTTAGAGCTTTTCTTCCTTTTTTCTGTTTGACTATACTATCTATAATTATGATTGGATCAAATTCAAGGCTCATTCAAAAATTTTTTCCAGCCATTATACAATATTACTAATTTACATATGGAAGTTGACTGCATTTAGATCATTCTCCGTTAATTAATAAGCAGACTTGGCGTAAATTCAAGTCTTGTAATATGGTTTTATAAATATTTGGTCTTCAAGACTGCATTTTTAGATAGACTGTTAAGAAGCTTAATTTTCTCTTAAAAAAGGAGTAGAATAGCAAAATCCTTTAAATTTAATGTGCATGATTTTTTTTAAACTTGGAAATAATTCAGATTTTAAAAATAAGTATTCCAAAGTCATGATTAAGTGAATTTATTTACTTTTATTGCTTTATCAATATGAGAATTTTAGTGGATTGTACGCTTATACAACTCTATTCCTCTATGTTGTAGTTTTTTTTAGTAGTTTTTGCTCTATTCTTAGATATATAATTCTCTGTTTCCTTAAAGTAGCACTTAGATATATTTGAAAACTGTTTTTTAGTAATTTTTCCAGCAGATGATTTAATATTGTACTTTGTCTTTTCTATTCACACAGAAATAGTTCTAATTTTTTCACACATCCCCTAATTTGGAAACACTTCGATTTTTCTCAGTTACTTCAGATTTCATTTAGTCTATTCTCTCTCTCATTTCCTCCCTCCCTCTCTCATATAGGTATAAAGAATAGAGGCATCTTGGGTTTTAATGTTAATTTCTCTTTACTAGCCATTTTAAGTGCATATATTAAAACTTAAGTCAAACATTAAACTATTTGCATGAATATGTGAAAACTAATTTAAAAATGAAATTAACCATTTCGTTGCGATTCTTATTCTCTGTAGCATTTCTTGAGACTTAAAGTGGCATTCTAAAGGCAATTTAAAAATCATGTCAAGCTCAATTGAACAGAAAAAAGGGCCTACAAGACAGCGCAAATGTGGCTTTTGTAAGTCAAATAGAGACAAGGAATGTGGACAGTTACTAATATCAGAAAACCAGAAGGTGGCAGCACACCATAAGTGCATGGTAAGTAAGCTGGCCACGCCCAGGAGACCTTGAAACCATTCATGAAAGAGAATCTTAATGACATATGAATATTCCTGAATACTTAAAAAAAACACACTCAGTTAAATTTTTAAGGAATGGTTTAACACTAATGCTATGCCATTTGTACTATAGAATTTCTTTTAAATTTAGCATCTTATTGTCTTACTGTAACTTATATGTGAACCTTAATTTTTTCAAATGTAATTTATAGCTCTTCTCATCTGCCTTGGTATCATCCCACTCTGATAATGAGAGTCTTGGTGGATTTTCTATTGAAGATGTCCAAAAGGAAATTAAAAGAGGCACAAAGCTGGTAAGTTGGTATTTCTGCCTCTTGAGTACAAAAATTATTTTAAACTCATTAAGAAAGAAATTACTTATTTTAGAATGTATTGCATTATTAACTGAGTGTAATTTTAAATTGCAGGCTTTTTTCTGAGCCAGCAAAATCCAAGGCTGGGTTTAATTTGTTTACCACTCAACAGAAAGGAGTAAATTACTATCTGTATTACTCAAATATTTTTGTTTTTAAAAAGAATTAAAATCTTCTTAAATATGATGTTTACCTAGGAAACAAACATTTTGCTTGATTCACATATATGTTAAAGTGTTCGTTCAAGTATATCTTTCATAATTCTAGTGTTTTCTTCCTTCATCATAGAATTAATGTGGTTATTACAAGTGAAGATGATAGTACCCCTCAATAGGAAAGTGTTAGCACTTGCAGAACAAAGTATTTTAATGTGGTTCAGCTATGTGGCACAGCTTTTAGGACTTTGGACAACTTTTTGTGAATTTTTCTTTTTAAGAATTTCACTCAGTGGTAATAGATATTTTATTTTTGTTTTCTTTTTTTGAGACCAGGTCTTGCTATGTAGGTCAGGCTGGCCTTGAACTCATGGTGATACTCCTGCCTCAGCCTCCCAGGTGCTGGGGTTATAGGCATGTGCCACCACCACTAGCTGTCAACTTTTGGTGAATTTAACAGGAGTTTTTCTAAAGCTGTGTTAGAATGAAGATCTTGTAGTTGTCTTCACTACCTGTAGCTGGACTACAAGATACTCTGTTATTCTGTTTGAAAAGTAGTGTCATCTCAATTGCTATTTATGGTTCACTTTGAAACATTTAATTAATGGAAAGACTTATTTTCATTGGGTTATTTTTCTTGTTTGAGCTCTTTATTGAAATTACATCCATAAATGTACCTTCAGTAGCTTTGCTATCAAAAGTTTCATTATTTTAAAGACGGATTTGGCAGAACATATCTCTGTGTTCTTAGGCCCTGAATAACCTTTTATTTCACAAAAAATCTGAGGTGATAGTTTTGGATGAAATGATTATGGGAAGAAGAAGGCTGTCCTTTGGATGATTAGGAGCAGTATGTTTTGAAAAGTAGTCTTCTCTTATTGGAAAAAAAAATAATATGAAGAAATGTAAGTTCAAAGATAGCATTTGAAATTTATTTTCAGATATGTAGTCTAAATTCTAGCATCAGTATTGGTACGAGTGAAAATGCAGAGGTCAGACTATTTTTGTTGTAGTGAGACCGTAACTGTGAAAGTGGTGACCTTCTCTACCAAATAAAATCGTAGCCAGTAATAGAAAGCTCTGTTTTTTAAATGTGACTTTTATTTAGTGGTTTTAGATTTCTTTGTTTTACTGTGTTACGCTAGTTTTTAAGAACAAGAGCACAATGTTTTGATTTCCTGGTCTTTAAAACAAATTCAGATGTAAAGAAAGAATATTATTTACTTGCAAGTAGTGCTGTAAGCCTTTTACCCTGTTTATTTCTTGCCATTATGAATATCACTTGAAAATACTTCTTCATCCTGACTTGTTAGCATTTTTGTCACTTGACATGGCTCCTGTAGTCAGAACAGGAAGAGTTTGGGTCCCTAACATTGAAATATTAACAAATGTAGTGCCTGGCTTTGCCTGTTACATAAGCATCAGCATACATCGGTCAATATTACTAAGTTCAATGGAGATTTAATATATTTGGGCATGTTTGTAGAGAAAACATCAGGACTTTGTACAGATTTCACTCTTATAGGTTATTTTGATTACTTTTAATGTCATAGTATAGGCTGTTCATCCCCCCCCTCGCCCAAGTTAGTGTGCAACAAAACTTGTTCCTAGATTTGGTCTAGAAAGTGAAACGATACTGGGGCTTAGGAGTATAGGTATAATAACAGACTTGAGTTTAAATCCCAACCCTGTCACTTACTAGCTGGGTCACCCTGAATAGGATAGTTACCTCTCTAGGCCATGTTTTTCTTACCTGCAGGAAAGGGGGTATTAACAGTACCTGCCTTGCAGAAGTATTGCCAGGATTAAAAGAGAATATATAGGCCTGTGCAGAGTTAGGATATGTAGTTAAGACTTGATAAATGGTAGCCATCACTGTTGTTATTGCTTATAAAGAAAAATAAGGCCCTGCTGTTATCGTTGTGGGCTAATGAAAACCTTGCTGAGCTGACAAATCATAGACCTAATTTTTTTGGTGCTGAGGATTGAACCCAAGGACTGATGAATGCTAAGCACGCACTTTACTGCTGAGCTGTACCCCTACCCCAGCCCTGAGGCCTATTTTTTAATAATTGCAAGGGACACATTATGTAACCTTAAACAAGTCATTAATTTGTCTTTCACCAACTGTAAACAGATAAGGCTGTATCACTGCTTACTAAACAGTAATGTTGCACAACTGAAAAGTGTTATAAAAACATCCCCCTAGAAAGAGCACTTCAGAAGCATTTTGACACGATGGACCTCTAACACTGAGGAATACCACCAGGCATTTCTGAGCCTGAACGTATAATTTACCTCCCTTTCTTTTCCTCAAAATGTCAGAATTTAAATAGCTTGTATAGGGGCTAAGAGGGCTACATTTATATGTTTCGCTTTGAAATCATTGTAAAGACTCCTCTTAACCTTAAGTTTTGCTCATTTTGGTACATTGTTTCTTAAAGTGCTACCAAGTAACCCAAATTCCAGGTTTTAGTTTTCTTTTTTTTCCATGTCTAGATTTGCCTAAGTAGTAAAAGAAATAAATCAAATAGAAAGGGAGAAAAACGAAGAGCTTTCTGTAACTAGTCAATCTACATATAAACTACATAATCAACTTCCGTAATGGACTTTTTAAGGCATTTTCTTACGTGAGCCTGATTGTCCTGGGTCCTGTTCGTGTGCATTTCTAGGTGCAAAGTAGATCATAAATACCCATTGTGAATAATCAAAACCAGGGACATTAGCTCATGCGTGCTTTCAAGACAGATTGGAAGTCTGTACCAGTCTATTCCTGTTGTTGGTCCCAAAAGTGGTCACATACCCCAAAAAGAATGACAGCTGGGTGTGGTGGTGCATGCCTGTTGTCTTAGCACTGGGGGGGCTGCTGAAGCAGGAGGATTGCCCCAAGTTCAGGGCCAGCCTGGGCTACATAGTGAGTTCAAGGCCAGCCTGCACTAAACAGTGAGACCCTGCCTCAAAAAAAAAAAAAGCAAAAAACCCTAAAGAATGACAAAGAGCAGAGGCTAGGGCTTGAAGTGGACAGGTATAGGCAGTCAGAAGGGTCAGTCTTGCACTCAGTAGGGCAGGAGGTACAGGCAGTCAAGCAGGTTTTCCCATCATCCACAGGGAGCAGAGGAGAAAAGAAATGTCCTACATGAATGTTTTCATCTTTTATATCATTAAATACATAGCACCAAGATGGACCAGGGAAGATTTACTAGAGTACTAAGGCTTATCATTTGAGGCCCTGATTTTGCAGTTTTGACAGATACATATATTTTTCCAGGATAATTTCCAGGTCCTACTAAAACCATATGAAGACAGCATACCTGCACCATCTGTACTTACTTTCTAGCCATCAAATCCAAAACTATAAATATCTAAGGAAAATTATGAGTTACCTCTGCTTTTTTGAATTTTTCTCAGGAGACACTTGAGCAGTATATTTGAAGAACATGCTGGCTGAAGCTAGTTGGTGAGATGGTGAAGAAGATATACATCAGATAGCTATTACTAATTGGTACCTTTGTCACATATATCGAAGATTGCATCAACAGAAAGGGTTAAGGAGGCCATTTAGTTCACCTTTCTTACCCTTAGGCAGGATTACTGACAAGTCATCCAAGATAATATTTTTGCCTGCCTTGTTATTAAATATGTCAGGAAATTCTGATTCTACTTTTATAACCTGAAACAGAACTAATAATTTATAATATTCTTCAGAATTGAGAAATTCATTCCTCTGTATAATTCAAGTATCTCAATTAAAAGTCATTTATTCCAGGTTTATGTTCTTATATTAAAGAAGTACTATATTTGAATATTTTTCTTATTTTAAAAAATCCTTTATATACTTGATAACCATCTTTAGGTCACTTCTAAACTATCCCTTTTGCAAACTACATTTTACTCACATGTCTTTTGAAATTCTCTGGACCAGTGATGGTGAACCTTTTAGAGCTTTCAATGGTAACAAACAGCCATGCTGTGGCACGTGAGCCATAGGTTCACCAGTGCTGCATCTGGACATTTTTCCTGTTTTTCATAGAAATAGCTAACATTTATTGAACACTTTATATATGTAAGGGTCTGTGGTAAGTATTTTTTAAAAAAATGATTGCATTTAATCCTCACAATCATACTGTGAAATAGGGAAGTATTAATTCACATCTTATATGTAAGGAAACAGGTTCAGAGAAGTTAAGAACCGTACTGACTGTTCATATAGGTAGTAAATGGCAGAGCCAGGATTTGAATTCAGTGCCAGGTGACTCCAAAGCCAGAACTCTTATTTACCAGGTTATACTAGGTTGTCTTTTTTTTTGTTTGTTTTGTTTTTTAATCTTTTTTGAGACATGGTCTCGCTATGCAGTTCAGGCTGGCCTTGAGCTCACTTTATAGCCTAGGCTGGCCTCAGACTCTCAACGATCCTCCGGCCTTAGCCTCCTGAGTGCTGAGATTACAGGTGTGTGCCACCACGCCTGGCTTTAGGCTGTCTTTTAAGCTTCCCAACCAAAAATCACATTTTTAAAAGACAGTGATTAGAGCTTAGTACAGTACATTTCTACTTCAGTGGAAATAGTGCTAAATTTAGAACATACTCTTGAGTCCTGTTAATTAATATATTGTATTAATAGCATTATTTTGTTTATTTTTAGGACAAAACCCCTATACACGTCCTATATATGACTTCTGTTTTTTATTCTCAAGGTATTTTTATAGCCTCTGAAAATGAAAAGACTAGTTCTGCATAGTTTCATTAACTTAGTACCAGTGGAGTGAGTGGCACTCCAGAGAAATAGG